CGGTCTGTGGGTGGGTGTAAACTGCTACAATCAGTGTAAGACAAGATAATGTCTCAAGCAGCTGAATAACCTGCCGTGTGTTTGTTTTTGTTTGTCAGGTGCTAGGAAAGGACCACCCTGATGTTGCCAAGCAGCTGAATAATCTGGCCTTGCTGTGTCAGAACCAAGGCAAGTATGAAGAGGTGGAGTACTACTATCAGAGGGCCCTGGAGATCTACCAGACCAAACTGGGCCCTGACGACCCCAATGTGGCCAAGACCAAAAACAACCTGGTACAAACCCACTCACACTTCACACTCTACATTCATTTAAAAATGCAGACTTCCATTTGTGGATATCATTTGTGGATATATGCATTTCTGAGAATGTTTAGAGAAAACAAAACCTCCTACAGATTGTCAGAGCTAATAAAATATCCCATTATAATACCACATGTTCATTTTGAAATGATGATCTGACTCTGTCAGCTTTTGTTTAAATTTAAGAAATGTATCCATATGGTGTGGAGTCTGCTGTGTTATTTGCTGCAGGATTTCTGTCATCTCAGCGGATTGTACTCATCAGAGATATGGATCATTCAGCTTTTAGTGTAATGGAAGAAGCTTTTAGAGTAAATACTCCTGCTCGGTCTCAGACATCTTTCAGCAGACTGAGGTTTAGGTTTTCTGCCAGTTATGATTAGATGTGCCAATGTATCAGCCACTGATCAGACAATTGTGGATCAAATTAACACCGACTGCAATCAAGCACAAGCACTGCTTTATTTCTAATTAATTAGGTGCTTATATTGTAGTGTATAGGGTCTATCAACTTTTTTTGTAATCAATGAATATACATACTCAAGTGAAATCTGGAACATGTGATTGTTGTTATCTACTAAAAATATTCAAGTAAGTCCATCCTTCTTAATGATCTATTTGTTCTCTTTCTCAGGCTTCCTGCTATCTGAAGCAGGGGAAGTTTAAGCAGGCGGAGACTCTGTATAAAGAGATCCTCACCAGAGCCCATGAGAGAGAGTTTGGCTCTGTAGATGGTACGTGTGCATTTATTCCTGATCCAAGCATTTTCAGAATATCTTTTATGTTGTTATCTATAGGGTATTTAAATTTGCTCTATAATATTCTACTCAAAACTACAGCTCACAAACGTTCTAAATAGGGTTTATGCTGTCCGCAGCAGCTCAGCTAAGGACACTGGAATTTACACACAATTCATAATGAAGCTTAACGTGCTCTATAGAGCTGGGGAATATGATTTTATTCATTTTAAATGTGTTATGATGTTGCTGGTAATATAAAGTTAATCATCATCGTGAAAATGGCTATATTTGGCCGTTATGTTTGCTGAAGATTGCTTCATTAGATTAATTTTGTAATCATGAGATCGCTTGAGAGAGCTCAGCCAGAAATGGTTTAATATAGTTTAATAAAATGTTTTAATATTGTCTCTGTCGGTATCTGTTGGCAAGTGCCATTCATTTCCTTGAGTCATTTGAAGCTATTGTCCATAGTTTCAGTGAATTTTTAAAACTGACTAATCAGTTTTGAATTTATTTGTGTCATAACTCAAAAGAGCTCATTATGTGGCATTTTTCTTATCTTAAAATGTTTTAGTTAGAAATATATGTAAATGTTGCTGTTTATTACTGTCCATTGCTATATTAGTGCCTATAGCATGTGATATATAACTATAACTGTGAACATGATAAAAAAAAACATATTTATAAATAAATATTTCTTTCTTTATTTTAATCTAATTAGCTAGATGTTTGTTTAGGAAAATATGTCCTGCTCTTTTAAGCCATTTCAGTGAAAATACATAAATATTGATATGTATTCATTCATGTCAGAAGGCTAAAAATATCAAGACAATATTTATATCACCCAGCCCTAATGCTTGCACAGCTTTTTGACTTTTGCACTAGTATCCTCTTTCTTTCTCTTACTAGCTCGCTAGCACACACACACACACACACACACACACAC